TCCTCCACCGAACTCTTAGGCCCTCGCTCCCTGGGAGCTTGGCTGCTTATATCCCAGAGGCCCTAGACCAGCTGGACCAGCTTGCTCTGATGTGCTCTGCTTTGGAGTCAGGAACTAGAAAGTTTTGTTTGCCATCTGTCTAGAATATTGGTCATCTAGCATTCAACTGTCTTGGGTACGAAAATGTCTTGCTCTCTTTCCTTATGTGTGGCAAACTGCAGAAGTAGCTTTCTGCTGGTGTTACAACTGTTTATTTACTGTATTTGTATACCATTTGTATGCCATTCCATAACCAGGCAGATTCCAGGGTGGTAGACAGAAAAGTTAAAAACAGATAAGACTAAAAATGTATTAAAAACAAGATAATATTAAAACCAGGCTGGTCAGCAAAATGCTTTTCCATAAAGAGAAAAGAGACGTCTTCAGGAGGTGCTAAAGGCAGCAGTGTTGGCACCTGCGTAACCTTCCAAGGCCGGGTATTCCATAGAGATGGAGCTGCCACACAGAAGACTCTTCTCACGACAGGTTCCAGTTTGTCTGTCAGACCATATGGGACTACCAGGAGAATATCTTCCACTGACCTTGATAATCAAGCAGAGAGAAAGAGAATTCTCTCTCTTTAAAGAGAGTTAAAGAGAATTCTCTCTCAAGCATCCAGGTGCCAAGTTATTCAAGGCTTTGTTTGCTATTCGGAACTTAAAAGGGGTAGCTTGCAACAGCAACCAGACTACTGCATTCTGCTGTAGTTCTTCCTACTGGAACAGCCTTAAGGGCAGCCCCACATAGAGTGGGTTGCAGTAATCCAGTCTTGACGTTACCAGTGCCTGTATCATTGTGCTCAAGCTATCCTTGTCCAGGAGAGGCTGTAGCTGGCAAGCAAAGACAGCAAAAGGAACTATGAGCTGCTGCAGTCACTTGGGAGTCCAGTGACAGTGATGGGTTTCGGTGTACTCACAGAGTATGAACCTGATCTTTCTGAGGGAGCGGAACCCTATCCAGAACAAGCAATGAGCCTGGTTGCTGGAACTGGGAACCACCAATCCACAGAGCTTGAATCTTGCCAGGATTCAGCTTTGGTTGATTGGCCCTCATTCAGCCTGTCACTGAGTCCAAACATCGATCTAGGGCTTGCACAGTTTCTCCTGGTGCTGTATTTGCTTCTTGATGCTAATATGAATACACATGAAGGACCCATTAAAACAGCCCTGCCTTATCAGCCAGTGTGTTTTCTCCAGACTCCAACCAGCCCTTCACTGTGGTTTGGAGGTGCAGGATGCTGGCATTTTGCCCCAGAAATGGAATTTTGGTGCCCGGAAAGAAAAAGGTTTGCCATCCCCCAGGTCAAAACTTGCAGTCCTAATAAAAAGTAATACATTCTTTCATGTTATAAAACACTTTGTTTTCCAGATATGCCAGAGCTAGTCTGCCTTAAACATTGAGCAAGGATGAAATTCTAAGTCTGGTGCAATGTTGGTTCATTTCAAGTTCTGTCATGTTCAGTCAAAGTCAGTGATGCAGGGCAGAAAATTTTCCAGTGCTTTATTTTCTTCTGCAGAAAAAATCCATTCCATAAGTTCATTAGTAAAAATGAATGTGTACCAGTTGCAAATACACTATTAAGCAAGCTTTGAAATTTGAAAGTTATAATCAAATGTAGATCAGAGGGTAGAAAAGCCCTTTTCTTTCTTACCCAGTCTTCTCCAATGTGGTGCCCTCTGTCTGTCTGTCTGTCTGTCTTGCAAGGAGCCTAGAGGAAAAAAGGAGCCTCTTCATTTTACCCTCACAACAGCCCTGTGAGACAGCGTAGGCTGAGAGTCAGTGACTGGCCCAAATATACTGAGTTGTTTCACGGTTTAGTGGAGATTGAAACCCTTCTCTCTCAGGTCCCAATCCAGTACTCTAACCACTGCAACATACCAAGCGCTCACTTTTTAAATGTATTTATCATACGTGTTTACTGCCCAGTTGGCAGATGCCCTCAGAGTGGTTTAGTGTCATAAAAATGCAGTACAATAAAATACAGATATTAAAATGTTAAAAATTAAAGAACCAGCAAGGAAGTTAATAAGCAGAGCACTAAATACAATTTTAACTGCTTTTCTGGAGAAGTAGATCTTAACTTATTTTCTGAACAAATACAGGGAAGATGCTTAGGTGGATCTCCTCCGAAAGGTATGTATATGGTGATGGGCCACAACAGAATTATCCCACACCTCATTTCCCATACAAGCATGTTACTCTTCTGTTGAAATGGACTATGTTGGGGTGTGACAAGGACTGGATTTTTGCATGGAAGAATGATGAGTTCATTTCTGATACTCAAATTTCTAGGTTCGGAATTATTCAAAAAGCACATCTCATTGTACCAGGTTCCAGCTGGTAGTTCTCACAGTTCAAGTGAATCAGCCAGATACTGTAAGCCTGAGGTCTGCTCACCCATTACAGAGGGATATGTATGTTTGTTTGGGACAGAGAAACAGACCCCAGTGCTTGAGAAATGAGTTATTATTTTATCCTTGGATCTCTGAAAGTACAGCAGAGTTTAGAATTGCAAATATCAAAGACTTCTGGGAGTAAAAGTAACTTCTTTACAGAGACCCAAGCAAATGTTTTTGTAGTGGGCAAAGTAACATTATGAAATGTAAAATTTCTCTGTTTAGTTCATTATTGAATCCCAGGGCTTGACTCCAAACAGAATTTTCAATTAAAGGAAGATCTTATTAGTAGTGCCTTTCAGAAACTTATTTCTGTAAACTGTTTGCTCCTTTAGGAAAATATATAAGCATCTTGTTAAGATACAAACACTTAAAACTCAATTCTCTCTGGTAGCACTTTTATTTCTGCTGTATATACAATGTTGTACTATCTATTGTACTAGATAGTTATCAGTGCTTAGAACATCTCAGCAGGGTTGATTAAAAAACAAACAAAGCAGTACTCCTCTTCAGCCTAGAGGGAAAACTTCTCTACTTTTTCTGTAGGGCAAGGACAAACTGGCTAAGATTTTGCACTGTAGATTATTTAGTGTGAATGAAGCTTGGAGGCTGTTGCCTAGGGATCCTTTGTCTTTAGGTTTGTGCAAGATCAATCTTGTACAGAACTTGGGCTTCAGAGAATGCTTTGTTTTATTTGTTATATTTAAGTTTCTAGTTCTCAAAGTGGTGCACAAAATGAAAATGTGCATGTTCCAGGAGCTGAATGGTGTTGAATCACTATAGCAAAGACAACAAAGTGGTCACTGGCAACTTTTAAAATTGCAGTCTTCTCCAGTATTCTGTTTTGTACTAAATTCCCAACATTCCAGACCATTGGTTACGGTGGCAGGTGCTGAAGGGATTGAAAGTCATCTGGAGAGCTTTGAGTTGTGGAATGCTGTGTTTTATTAGGAAGCTATGTTTTGTTTTATTTTTTGTCTTACTGTTAAACCGTCCTGAGACTACGGTAAGGAATGGTCTAAAAAGGTTTTAAATAAATAAATAATAAATAAATAATTTCTGTGAGCTTTCATAGGCCACTTCCACTGTACTCCTGCACTGCTTCTGTGAGATGGGAGGCATTGTTTTATATGGGTTTGACGTACATAGGGGGTTGATTCCAGAGAATCACATCTCGGCCTCAGGGTGCCGTCTTGTCCCCAGTGTTATTTACTGTCTCTGTGAAGCCATAAGGAGCGGTCATCCAAGTGCAGCAAAGTATCACAGGATGGTGGTAGTAAGAGGCCCTGCAGGTTCTGAACTGGTACTTAGATACACGTATGGCTTGGTTGAAGGCTACTGATCCTAAGCTGGATCCCAAGAAAACAGAGCTCAGGGAGACTGGGAATTGTCAGGTCTAGGAATTGGGCTGTTTGCCTATTCAGGACAGGATTCCACCCTCTCTGAAGGCAAAGGTATGTAGTTTGGGGTTGATTCTGAATCATTCTTTGTCACTGGAAGCTCAGGTGACCTCAGGGACCTGGAATACCCACTGCTAGCTCTGATTGGTATACCAGCTACAATATTCTTCAATAGGGATAGCCTAGCCTAGTGGAAACTGCATGATTAGACTACTGTCATGTGCTCTAAGTGGGGCTGCCTTTGTGCCTGTTCAGCAGTTGCCGCTGCTGCAGAATGTGGCCTGTGCTAAAAGATCTGTACTGACTGCCTTCTGAGCCATGTGCAGTGTTATGTTATTGTCATTCAAGGCTTTAAACGATTTAGGACCAGCTTACCTAGAAGACCGCTTCCCTTGTATGCACAACTAACCATTAAGATAATTGGAGGAGGGCTTGATAGTCATTTAAAAATTATTAGAATGTTGCCATATTATACCTTGATGGCAGGGTGTTCTCAGTGGTGGCACCAACCCTGTGGAAGAACTCCTTTGTTAAGCTCAGGAGGCAGAAAAAATCTTATCTGTCAAACACCTCCAGAAAATGTGCCTGTTCGCCTAGACTTTCCCAGTTAAATTAACCAGACTGTTCCATTTTAGTGCCGCTGTGTTGTTTCTGTTGCTGTTATCCTCATCGTCATTGTGTTCTGTCATTTTAAAATTGTATTTTAAATGTGATATTAAAATTTATGTGGCATTTATTGGGATTTTCTTAATATTTAGAAAATAGCACTAACACATACATAGTTAAATAAAATAAAAATAGTAGCTAAGAGCCAGGGCAGATTTTATAAAGCAAACCTAAATGATTGCAACAGAGAAGTTGGTTCTGATTTTAGCCTTGTATGTTTTAGTTAACAGCCATGCCTACTGTATACTGAAAACTAACATGAATATTGCCTGTGCTTCATTTTGGTGCAGGCCTTTGCTTTGAGTTTATTGTTTTTACTGATATGGGCAGTTGCCTACTTTTGTGGGTTTGGGCTAGGGTGATGTCTTGAGGTTACCATTAAGGGCACCCTGTTCCCAGCTATTCCTTATATACCAAAAATGGGTTTTCTTATGCAAACCAAAGAGAATTAGGCGTCACCTAGAGTACCATTTAATTACTCCGCTCTCTCTGTTACAAGGTCCGCCATCCACTCATCTGCACCAACAACCACGTCTTCTGCTCTGTTTGCATTGAAGTATGGCTAAAGAACAATAGCCAGTGTCCCGCTTGTAGGATCCCGATCACCCCTGACAATCCTTGCAAAGAGGTCCTGGGTAAGAGAACCGTTCCCTTAAAATACGTGAGATCACTTGATGTGCTGATGGGGGGGGGGTGTTGGGGCCACCTTCTGGTGGCGGGAAGTGCCAGGGTCAGAGTGGGGAGAGCCACCCTTTCGCTTCTCTCCCTCTGTTTCTTTCTGTTCCTCCCTTCCCCCTACACAGCAGGTTGCCAGGGACTCTTGCCAACGGATAGCCTTCCGGAGGCTCATGAAATTAGGCTGAGGGCCACACGTTGCCCAGTCGTGCCACGTAATCTGTGGACACGTTCCCAGTAGCCCACTAGTCTACTGACTTTGAAGAGGCTTGCCATTCTAGTTGATCTGAGATCATCCAAAAACTGTTTGCAGCTGGCCAGCATATTCCATGCCTCTTGTGTGCCGCTGCAATGATGCATCATCACTTGAATACAGAGAGGACCTCAGATATGAGGAATAAAGGGAGCCTTAATCTTTTGGGATAAGAACGAGAGGAGGGATGTGGCAGCACTTTTGTAGTCCTCTTAAAATGACAGTGTAATGTTTCTTTAAAAAGAAAAGAAAAGACTGGTGAACGAGACAAACTTACATTGTTGCAGGAGGAACAAGCGAAAACGACCCTGTGTTCAGCCCTGCAGTCAGAAAACAGCTCCGCAAAACAAGGCTTGAACTTCTGCACAAAGAATATGAGGTAAGAGCGTGCAAAGACTGCCGAAAGGTGTGGGTGAGCAGCATCTCGTGACGCGAAAGCAGGTTGACCGTAGGACAAGGCATTTTTGTATCGTGCATTTCCCTCGTAAAGAGCCGGGCTAAGATACTAAACAGCTTGATCTGCCCTTGCAAGGCATGTCCTTGTAAACATACTTTGCTGACTGGTTCATGTGAGGCAGGCACAACCCATGTTGTGTTGATGCTCATGTGAAACCATCTCTCAGACTTTGGCTGGAATTGCTCTGTGTACCCCAGGTGTACATGAGCCAGGGATGTGCAGGCAGGCCCGTCCTTCTAATAATGTGTTACGTGCAGAGAAATGCCTGATGTATTCAGTCGTCTTAAATGACAATTTTCGTAGTGGGAAGGTGGGAGGTGGGCAAGCTGGTGCCCTCCAGATGCTTTGGACTCAGCTCCCATAATCTCTGACCATTGGCCTTGTCAGTTGGGGCTGTTGGGAGTTGTAGTGCCAAACATCAGAATGGTGCCAGGTTGCTTACATCTGCCTCCACAGATTGTCCCAGCAGTAGTCCCCTGTCACTCCACCAGCCATGGAGATAAGGAACGAGCTGGTGTGGTGGGTCAAATGCACTCTCCTTAGAGGGAGTACGGGAAACTGCTGTGTCTTGGCATCAGCCCGTGCATCTGTAGTATAGCAGAAATAGTGGCTATCACTGCTTGATCAGGTGGCTCTAAGGGGGGCGGGGTGTGCATATAGAACGCTTCGAAGAGGGCAATGAAAATGCCAGTGTCATATTTTGTGTCACCTGGAAAGATCCAACAGAAGATACTTTTATCTTTTCCAACCATTTAGTCATGTGTTACTTCCACAATACCTGTATCTTTGGTACTGAAGGAACTAGAGTGGCCTGCAACAAAATGTTGCATTGTAGAGGGATTTTAAAAAGAATTTCAGCCACTCTGTTTTGTTGTGTTTCTATTTGCTAAGTGTGCTCAGTCCTCATTAGGCTATTTTTTGACCCCCCCCCCCCCCCCCCCACTTAGGATTCTTTCCAAGATTGTTGTCCGTCTGCAAATCTTGGTGGTTCCCTTAAGCCTGCTGATACTTTGTGCATCATTGATGCTGCTGTGGCTGCATAAGCACTGGTACTTTGGAAACAAAGGGTACGATTATTCAAGATTCAGTTCTGGGTCCGTCTTTTCACTGATGTTCACAGCTTGTGTCAGTTCCATTTATGGATGAGCTTAGGGTGTCTATTTTGAAACTACTTCTTATTTCAAGTTCTGGGCAGATCTATTTAAAAAGTTTCCAGCTGCCCCATGTTGGAAACAGTATGCTAGGTGGGCCCTTGGTCTGATCCTGCAAGACTCAAAGGTTTTTTCCAGTTTTCACAAAGCTCTGTCCCTTGATAATTACCAAGCCCAGACATTCCCAAGAATTTTCTCAAATACCAGCTGGAACTATCTACTGATTTGTAAAATCTTTAAGATTATCTTATTTGGATCTTTATTTGGATACACTTCAAAATTTCCCCAAGGATTAAACAGTGTAATGATCTCTGTTCTCAGACTTAACTTCTAATGTTTTTGTGTCCTTTTCCTTCCTCTCTTTTCTCCTTCCCCTGCTTCCTCAAATAATAATAATTCTACCACTGGGAATGGGTTTGCCACACTTTGAAGGATGAGATAGAATCTCTGCAGAAAGAGTTGGAAGAGCTGAAAGGGAAAAACCTCAGTTTGGAGTCCCAGCTCAAATCTGTCCTACACCCTGTGACATTGGACATGTCCCACAAAAGCCGGGAGAGCCCTCCACTCTCAGATAATGAACAGAAAATGGATGCTGAGACTTTGACCACATGGGCCCAGAAGCTTCAGGCAGCGAGTGATATGTATGAAAAAGCAAGGGATGACATGGAAAAGTTAACGGAGGTAACAACAAGTCTGCTGACCTCACTGGGCAACAGTCTAAGTATTTAATGTAGCATTGGTGAGAGTGAAGGGTGGTGTGACCTCTGAATAATTTCTAGATGTGTAAGAAAGCAACATAAGGCTGGGACATGGGTCAATTGACCTTCTGTTATTTGACCTCAGTCCTATAGTCCATGAAATCAAGAACTCGCTTCAATAATCCATATAGTGTAATATCACCTTTAGACTGGCTCAAAGATCATGACAACTGTGTGAGCTTTCAAAAGTTGCCTTGGCCAATAATGATACTACGCTTTATGGATTTGGGGTTTTTTCTTATGGCTTGCAAGGTTTACTTTCTTTTTGTATCCCTTATTGTAGAAATGATGGAACTTCAGCTCATTTTAATGATGTCATGTAATGCAGCCAGCTGGAGGGAAGGGCACTTCTGTCTGCATGGGCTTGTTTGGGATCGCATATGCACACCCAGTTCATTTACAGGAAGGCACCCAATACTCGCAGGTAGAACCAGAGGATGAATGGCTGCTCTGGAGAGCTGCTCTAGCTGTTCTCATTCTAGAACATTTCTGTCAGGAGCTCCTATCCTGTGTCGCCAGGTGGATAGCAGCTCATTGTAGAATATTGTATCCATTTTTGGTAATGAAATTTACAGAAATGGGCCACCACTCTCATTCAGAACCACAGTGAGAGATGATGAGTGCTCTAATTCTTCATACTAGGGTTCTGTCCTGTATCTGCCTGCAATTCAAAGGCAGCCCCAAGTAAAATGCATCACTGTAAGCTAATCTGGAGATCAGTGGAGTGTGGTTCAACTTAGCCAGGCCATCCCTGTCCAGGTGAGGGTTGCAACTGGCTTGCTAACTTAGCTCTGTGCCACAAAGTCCAAGCTTCTTGTGGCAAAGCTGAATTTAGGAGATGCATGAAGACTTTAAGGGTATTGCAGCCACATTCAGAACAAGCAGAATGCTTTCTCTCTGGACAGATAAAGCAGCCACCAACAGCACCTCTGTCTAAATAGAGGGATAAGACAGAATCTTGACTATCACAAGTAGCCATCACATTCACATAGGCCATGAATCCTGGAGAATTGGGGCTGCCAAGAAGCCAATGGCGCCCTCTGCAAAGGCAGGTTTCCATGCTTTGTAAAGTATAGCATGCATTCTAAATTCGTCTAGACTGCAGCAGCTTCCACAGTTCTTAGCTCTGTCTGAGATTATAATAAATTAATGTGCTTAATACTCAACCAATATTTGTATGGTCATCTGGCAAAACCATTTTTTAGCATCCTAAAGGAAAACATTGACTCTTTGTTTCATTAATTGCCTATTTTGTCCGCTGACCTTTTTTGTTTTTGCAAATCCAGTAGTCACTAATTGTATTAGACCAATTATTTTTTTTTCCCCAAGTATTGATGACCAGATGCCTTTCAGGCTTCCAATAATCTATGTAATACATCTGATTGGCCCCCTTTCAATTTGCATATGCTGCCTGTTGGCTGAGAGGTGCCTGGACAATAAGCAAAAGGGGGGGGTTGCTTTGTCGCCAGTTCCTCTTGCAAATTGCATTGCCCCAGTAAGGGGTACTTACATTGCATAAGCATTGGTTTGCACTGGAGCAATATCCTTAGCAGTAGCATTGGAGCACAGTTGGGTCCTACCCATAGCTGAGATGTCACAATAATTTAAAACATAGAACTCAGCACATTTAGACCCTTTGAAAGAGGCTCCATTGAATTCTTTCCATACTTAGGGACTGGATCCTCCATTCATCAAATTCAAGTAGATAAGCCTTTTGGGACTAGAAGACCAGGGTTCAGATAATGAGTGGCATGCCTGAATGCTTCTCACAAGGAAACAAAAGTACTAAAGGAGGTAGCAAACATAGAAAACAAGAGAAGAGGTTTAGCCTGTTATTTTCCTTGATAGATTGCTGTTATTGAAATTATTCTTGATTTTTGTGTGCCTGTGTAGGGGTTGGGTGAGAAATGTGTTTTGGTACATACAAGAATATCCAGTTTGTACCATTCAGGACTGAACATATCTAACAAAAATTATATATTTCCAAGGCTTGCTTTTTGATGGGTGGAAGGGCAAACGAATGCCAAAATATGGGCCCATTTGAAAAGTGCACACAAGAGAATATATGCATTTGAAAACGGGCACAAAAGTGGTATTCTCAGTTTGGGAGAAATAACATTCATGTAAGGATACCATGCAAACATGTTTAGAAAAATGTGTATGTAAATATATGTGCATTTGCAGAGGCTTTGCTATCCAATATAGACAGAGTCAGAAAGAGGTTGGTGGTAGAAAAAGGAGAATCTCCAAGACTGCTCTTCTTTATTACTTTTCTAATCTGTCCAGTAGCAAATGTCCTCTTGACAGATTTGCCCATCCCTAGGCTGGGGTGTGTTTTGCAGGAGATGCCATTTGCTGCCTACAGGTTAATGTGGCTTTACTGCTTGAATCTGCAGGTGGTGTAAATGGTCCCATACTTTGTGCTTTCAAGTGAACAGGGAGTATTTTATATGCAGGATGGGCAACAACCCTCCAGCTGTTTTGGCTAACAATGCCCTCTCATAATTGAGTATGCTGGCTTGGGCTGCTGGGAGTTGTGGCCTACCAAATGTTTTGGCATACAGGCTTCCCACCCTTATATCATGGCCATATTCATTGGCGATTATGCGTGTCACAGTCCAGCATATTTCACAGGCACCAGGCTGGAGAACACTGCATTATACAGTTGATCTGCTAGCTCTGAGCTGTGTGAACAAACTTAAACTGAGGCACCAGTTTTTATGTGCATGACATATACCTACTTTTGGCTCCTGGATCAGGGTGTACAATAGCATGTAAGCCAAAATTAGGCACAAGAATTTCATGTCAAATGGAAGAAGCTGTCTTCCTACTCAGGCTAGACAGGTATAGCCACCCCTTTTCTAAGAAAGAAAGCTGACTATCAGTGGGATTTTTCTTGATTGGGTGTCTGTAGCTCCCAGGTATCTTGCTTAGACTATTCAATGTTAGCGGTCATTGAGGTTCTCCAGAATAGGCCTGAAGCTCATTTTGGTTCATTCTCACTGCAAAACATGAGCATCTCCCCTGCATCTGGAAAAATGAGCAATTAAAAATACTCCCCCAAAATGTTTCCTATAGTTTAAAGCATGAACATGAGAATGGGGAATGTACATTTATGTGAGCACATCTTTTTGGAAGTGCACAATTGCACGCTTTCAAAAGCAAGTTCAAGAAATTGTGAGCATTTACCAAGAGTTGTGCTCCTGTGCATTGCATTCACAGTTGTGAGAAAGGCTTGTTGGCCTGATATGCATCTGGGAACAAAATCCCTGCAAATTGCTAAATAGACTGGGGGGGCTGAGTCCCACTCTGGCACTGGCACATAGAGAATTTCTTCATTGAAAGTATTATTAATAGTAACATTCTGGAAGTGATTCCCAAGTGAAATGGCAAATAAGATGTCGCCCTGAATTTACTTTGTGTGTGTACCATCTTCTTATAGAAAAAGAAAACCAGTGGGCAATCTAAGTTTGTTTGGGAGAGTAAAGAAGCTGTTCAACATTCATTTTGCTGATACCTGCACATTGTAATGTTAATGTGTTTAAAGTATTTAGTCATGTGAAGGAAGGGAAAGGAGGAAAACATGAAATTGCCATTAGTATATCGCCCCACGATGACTGCCAGGCTGAACGAAGATGGGTCTGTTTATTTCCCTGGATAGAAGCGCTTGCGGCATATTTTGGGAATATAAATTAAAAATGTCTGTTCTCTATTCAGTTTTTGCAAGCCATTTCCCAAGGTAATTTTTAAGTGGTATCCCCATAAGGTGCACTGGGGTAGGGTGGGAAGAGAATAGGGGAAGAGGATTCTGTGTTAACTGTTGCTACTTTAAATATACCTTTTTTAAAACCTCAAATCACTTGTCTTAGAAATGTTTGTTAGTTTTTCTTGCTGCTTCTGTATTCTTAATATTCTTAATTTCTATATAGGTAAATAAGAAATTAAGGCTGGAAAATGGGAGTCTTGTGAGGGAGAACTTGCGGTTAAAGGCTGAGGTTGGAAGCCGATCACCCCAGAAGTATGTAAATATTTTAAGCCATTATCGTGCATTATTCATTTGCCCATACTTAACAATTGGAGGACCATAAAATGAAGTGGCAGTGATGTAGTCGGGCTTGGGTGGCCTTGTCTTTCTGTTGGAAGTGAATTTAATAGGAATCCTGGATGGCTTGTCTCACTTGAAATTCCGTTTGAAAAGGTGAATTTTAGGGGGGGAAATGGTATTTGCATTTCTTAATGTAGAAAATGATTATTGGTTGCTCAATAGAATCTTACTGTTTCTCCTTCCCAAAATCCCAGTGCTATTCATTTTACGCAACAGCCAGCAAATGTACCTGGCTTTGGAATGGCCTTTAGTTTGAAATAGCAAAACCTTCGAGCAAAATCAGGCAGCTGCCGAGGGTTGGCCGTCACCTGAGCAAGGTGCGCCTCATCCCTGCCATGGGGCACACCACTGACCCCTGTGGGAGCAGTCCAGTTTCACAGTTCTCCTGAGAAGCAGGCGGCTGCCCCGCTCTCAGGAGGAAGGTGCAGGCATATATAACTCTGGCCTTTGGTTTCCTCCTCTGCCCTGGCTTCATATGGTAGGAACTGACGACCTGTGTGCTGGTTAGGGAAGTTTACCCCTTGTGGGTGAAATGTAACTGTCGCTTCAGCTTCAGGGACAATTTGCCTTAATCGAAATGACTGTTTTAAGAGCAGAGCAACCCTGGATTACACACAGATGGAGTGTCTTTAGTATGCATGCCAAGTTTTCTAGGTTCACCATCATTAGACAAGCAGATAGACACCCTCTTTTATTAGACATTTCCAACTTTTTTCAATGACATGGAGACTTCAAACATTCCTATAGGGCACAAGGGGTACATTTTTATCAAAGCAGCTCATCAGGAGGAGGTGCCTGGTTTTTGTCCTCCGCCTGCCTCCACCTCCTGAATTCTCCTTTACAGAGCAGTTGGTCTTAGGGTGGCCCTTTGGTAATAGAGGGGGACAGGAGAGCCAGGTAAGGAGAGTGGGTGAAGAGACGTCCCCCACCCGGCCCGCCAGCCACAACCAGTGTGGAAGTGCTGGTACCGGCCCCTCGGCCTGTGACTTCAGGCTACTTTGATTTCCGTGGGCTTATTCACAAGGGTAGGCCAGGTGTTAGGCTGAAAGGGCATGGCTAGAATGAAGTCACCCCGAGTGGGTATTTGAATCCAGCTCAACTCCCTGTATATGGTTCCGTACTCTGATCGCTACACCCACCTGTCTGCATGTGTTGCTCATCAAGGCCCTTTGCAAGCCCCACTCCTTAACTGGAGCTGGAAGCAAATTTTCTTAATGCATCCAGCCTGCGTAGCCTGTGATTACCCACCAGCCTGAGTGCAGCTGACCAGCCTTGTATCTTAGCCTACCGGGGAGCGTTCAGCTCCTTGCTGTGCAAATAAACACACAGTTAGTTGCCATGGAAGTGTCAGTCAGACAAGCCGAGAGTGAAGCAGGGGCCGGGGTTAAACCAACAAGTAAGGATTCTCTGAGGTACTTCAGTGTCATAGCCAGAGTCAAGTGCACAGGTGAATTTAGGTCTAAGTCCGGTTGTCTTCTACAGTGATCCACACAAGAGTGAAGGTCAGGATACAAGAAGCCAGAACTGATGGGCTGTTTTCAGCAAAGTCCAGAAAGAACTTTGTTAGAGGATCCATGTACAAGCTTCTTCCTTCTTGAACTTTATAAGATGAGGAGCCATGATGGTGGCGGAGACATCTTCTCTGTGACGGCCCAGCATGCTGCTCCGGTTATGTATTGATCAGCCTCCAACCTGGTGCCCTTCACATGTGTTGGCCACAACTTCCACCATAACCAACCTTCAGAATTCTGGGGAAGAAAGATGGTAATATGGGGAGAAACTATAAGTGCACACATGCAAACGCAACTTCCTTGGTTTTGAGCCATTCGAGTTATGCAGGGAAGAAGCTATGAGGACATGGCTTCCTCCAGTGGCGCCCCTCAGCGTTTTGTTGCAATGTACCCCGTTTTGAAGGAAAGAGTGTTTGCAGTGATGTTCAAGCTAATTTCCTAGATTATTTTGCAGGTGGAAGGAAGCCTATGGGGAAATTTCTTCATCCTTCTGTGCAATCAAAGGGTCCTTCTTCCTTAAAATGGTGGCTTGAGAGAGCTATTCAACATGGAAATACCACAAAGTTGTGTCTGCTGTAGAGACATTCCTGTAGTTTAATTCATTGGACATTAGAGTGACAGAAGGCTAGTATCTGTTGATGTCGTCTCCCTGAATCTGAACTTCCTAGACCTGTCCCTTACGGCAGCTAAAAGTTTGGCCCTGCTTTGAGACCTTGGAGAACATGCTTGATTTTTTTCCCCCTCAACTGGGGATGCTTGCTAAGAAAAGATGCACTTGAGGTCATGATGCTTCCTTACTCTTGGCAAATTAAAGGTTGCCTTTAATGCAGGTTGCATTAAATAAACATATTACACATTTCTTCCATTGAAAATTTTTGCTAGGTCTGCATATAAGTGAACTCTGCTAAACTTCTGCATATTTTGTATGGACCACACTCCTCCATGGCAATTCGGCCGATGCCTCTTTCAGCAATGGTAACTTTATGAGTGGACTGGCGAGGCTTGGATCTTCTGGCTCCCCACCCGCTATCTTTTCATAGGGTACCTCGTGTGTCTTTAGGAAATCTGGCTCATCCTGAAGGGCGGGGGGTGGGGGGTGGCTGCCACTCAGGTATAGTTGGGGAAGGACTGATGCTTGAAGGGAAGGTGCCTTGCCCAAGCCACACAGTGAGCCAGCAAGATGCGTAGGACTGATGGCCTCTGCCGCTGGATTACTCACAGGGCTTGGTCTTGCAGGCAGATGCACCCCCTGAGCAGAGCCCTGTTTGCAGAAGGCAGGAGCAACTTCCAGAGAACTTCTCTTGGCAACCCCTGAAAATCTGCTCCTAAGGGCCAAGCACCCCCTGGAATATTGTGTTTGTTGCCCTCTTTCTCTGATTCAGTTTGCTTTAGTTATAGAACTGCTTGCAAATAGTATTAGAAGTGATAATTTAATAGAAGGTATAGGATTTGAGAATAAAATTAAAATGAGATTATTTGCAGATTATTAACAATAAAGGACCCAGTTAAGGTTATGGATCAGATTAAAATACATGTAACAAAATTTGAAAAAATAAAGGGTTTACAGGTAAATTGGGACAAATCAGAGATGATGTTAATTATAATAAAGTGGAAAAGGATGAGATTAAAAGCAAGTTAGAAGCTAAGACATGTAATAATAAGTATTTAGGAGTAGATATTACAAAAATTTGCTATGTTTAAAAGAGAATAATTTTAATATGTTAAAATATGAAGTGAAAGAGATAAAGAATGATGAAGAAGATTGGTCAATCATAGTTTGGTAGAATAGCAGCAATCAAAATGAAGATTTTATTAGATTAATTCCTTGCTTATGATGTTATCAATTAGTTAACAGAGAAAGATTTGAAAGAATGGCAAAACATGATTAATAAATTGTGTACTAGGGATAAAAAAGTAAGAATTAATAAAAAAGATGGTATATGCTCCAGAGAACAGGGGATTTAGGCATTCCTAATGTGAAATTTGATTATCTAGCTAATCAACTGAGGCATATACCAGATATTATACTACAACTGGATAAGATAATATGTGGTAAATTAGAATATTAAGATGTAGAGGGATCCTTATTAAATATTTTTCTTCAACAAGATAAGAATGTTATTAAAAAGATAAATCCTTTTTAAAATATGGTTAAAATTTGGAATAATTATAGAGATATCTTTATCTCATTGATTTTGCTGTTATACCCAATTACAGAATTAGAAAGATTCCCAGTAAATCTGAGGAGTAATTTGAAGGAAGTAATGAAGAATAAACATGTTATTAGGTTGAAAGATTGGTTACAGAAAATGAAGAGTAAAGAAATGATATAAATGGTACAAGCAACACTGGGACAAGGTAAAATAAAATGGTACAATATATTTCCATTGGACTAAGAATTGGTTGAAGAGAAATGGTACATGCAGAGAATATACTAAATTTGAAGATATAATTTTACAAAAAGAAAAACAAGACAATATGTGGATGAGAAGAATGACAAGTAAAATCTACAATATATTATTAGAAGAGGAGGAGCACTATGATCCTCTTAAAGAGTCTTGGGAAATAGATTTAAAAAGAAATCTATTTGAAGAATGGAATAATGTATGAGGTAAGAGAATTCTAAAATTTATGCCAATAAGAATTAAAGAGAATTTTTATACACTGGTTTGGAAATGGCACTTAACTCAAGAGTACAGGAGGAATGGCTGTCTTTGACTTGATCCTAACCAACAGGAAAGACCTAGTGAACCAGTGGCAGCTACAGGAACTTGGGGGAAAGTGACCATGTCATACTTTAATTCTTGATTTTGAAGGAAGCAAAAGCCAAATGTAGACAAACGTGTACCCTAGATTTTTATTGTTTTATTGTTGAAGGCTATAACATGTTCAAGAAGAACAGAAGGAACAGAATGGGAGGTAGAGTTGCCCAGTATGTGAAAGATATATATATCTGCACAGAAATGCAACTGGATATGCTTAGTGGCCACATTGAGAGCATCTTGATTAATATAAATGGAGTAAAGAATAAATCCCCTTCATGGATCAATGGCTTGCCATGGCAAAGGAGCTTGTGTAGCGCAATGAAGCTATGAGCTATGCCATGCAGGGGCTCCCAAGACAGTCAGGACATAGCAGAGAGCTCTGACAAAAGGTGATCCACTGGAGAAGGAAATGGCAACCCACTCCAGTATCCTTGCCATGAAAACCCCATGGACAGTACCAAAAGGCAAAAATATATGACACTGGAAGATGAGCCCCACAGGTCGGAAGGTGTCCAATATGCTGCTGGGGAAGAGCAGAGGGCTAGTACTAGTAGCACCAGAAAGAATGAAGCAACTGGGTCAAAGCCGAAAGGACACTCAGTTGCCGATGTATCTGGTGGTGAAAGGAGAGTCCGAT